TTTAGATATGTTTTTTAATATTTTTTTATATTGTTTTGTTTCTAAAAATAATAAAAAACTATAATAGATTGACAATAATTTTGTATATAAAATTAAAAATCTTATTTTTGAATTGTTTACCTATAATGTTTATAGACAACACTCAATATTTAATATAATTATAAAATTATCTATTAAAATAAATCTCGTTTAATTCAATTACATCAATATTTATAATATTTTATTTAAATTTAACCACTTATTTATTTAAAAATTTCATAAAAAATTAAAAACTCATTCGCTCCTTACAAGTTACTCTTCCACTAAACCCCAAAAAACCCACCATAAGAAACTAAAAAAACCTAAATTATTAAAAAGTAGTAAATATTATATATTTTAATAATTATTCTCCATATAATATTTTATAAATTTTAATTAATAATTAATAAAATTTATTATATTTTATCTATAATATTTTTAAAAAATAAATAACTAAACACCTAAATAACTTTCATCCATAATTACAATATAATATAATTTAACATAATCACATTTATAACTACACTTATAACAACTTACAACAAAACCAAATGCATCCTATACTAATTTGTGCTAGTACTTAGTAGGAGTGTTCATATTCGATCCAATCCGATTGATCCAACCTACATTGATCCAATCTAATCAAAAAATGATCCAAATCGATATAAAATTGGATTGGTTTGAATTATAAAATTTTAAAACCGATATAATTGGTTTGGTTTATGATTTTACTTTCAAACCGTCTGAACTGCCGGATTACAAAATAAAATCCGATTACAATATAACTTAATTAAATAATATAATATATTTTTTGTAATATTTTAAAATTTCTTTTTCTTATTTTACAAAATAATAACTCTATTAATTTAATTAAAAAATAAAAATAGAACATCTCCATATTCCCTAAGTTATTTTTCCATTTTAATCATGCATTCTAACCCTAATTTTAAATTTCTAATTCACCTGTAACTCTATCCTCTCAAAATTGATTTACGCCTCTACTCTTAGAATCCTAAATTTCTAATTTATTCTTAAAATAATCTTATGATTCTCCTGATTAAGTTTTAAATAAGTATTATTCTAAAAATTTTAAAATTATATAATAAAATTAGTTTTGATATTTTACTATTTTTGGATATTTGGTTTAGAAGTTTTCAATTTTGATTATGAATGCTTCTAATCAATTTTTAACGATATTCATGTTAAATTTTATTCACTTTTAATAGAATTTAGAAGATGAGATTAAATTATTAATTATATATTAAGAAAAAAACTAATTTTAATTTTTAAAAATTATTTACGTTGTGCTAGAAACTTAAAGTCATCTTTTATTGTTCTTGGTATCTCTAATGATATAACAAAAAAGAATTTTCAAATCTTTTCAATTTTTATAAAGGTAAAGGAGTATAAGAACTCATTTATAATTTGTATTTTTTATTATATTTTTACTTATTTATATGTTAATGTATTTTATAATTATACTTTTTATTTGATGTTAAAATATTTT